AATTATATTCCTACTAAACAGTGACATTAATTTGAACGAATGAAGAACTAGTTTATAAATGTTATCATGTCAATTTAATCATATAATTCGTATAGTTTTAATATTACTTTTTCCGGATGAGCAGTCATCTAGTGGTATCAAGCTCGTTTGGCAGATAATCATTTTTCCGTTAATTAGATATAAAATAATGAATTGAACACAGTTAGGACTTGATTGTTTAAGACTTTCAAGATTTTTCTTGTTGGAACTTTTAATTATATGTTGGCCGTTAAAACTTTTAATTTTTAAAAGATTGAAAATGGCTTTAGAAATTGTTAAAAACCTAAGGGTTTGATTGTTTATGACTTTAAGACTTTTACTGTTGAGACTTTTAATTATACTAGGTCGTTTTTCTGCGCTACGCACGGATAATTATCTATTAAATTTTATTATTAATTTTCCTGAGTTAATATAAATACTGTATAATTTTCATATATATATATATATATATATTGTGTAGTCTTTATTATATAATATAAGAGGGGAGAGATACTCTATTTATGGTGTTTGAATGTTGAGTATATTTTTTCCACATTTTTGTAACAAAAATTTATAAGTTTGATAAAATACCAAAACTGAATTTAGAATAAATAGTGCAAATAATGTGAGGAAGTTGTTTACATATATATGAGTTAGAGTAAATTCGCGTAGTCGATGATGAGGCGAGAAATAGCTTCCCTATAAATAATAGTTATTAATCAGTATGTATTATATTTTAAAGTTTGTATTTGTTTTGACCTTTGTATATTTTAAGATAAAGCTTATTACCTTAACAATTTTATATTTGCGATTTAGTTATGCTTTGCAACTTCCTGAACAGAGATGTTTGGTTGTCTAATAGTGTAAGCTTAACAACTATCAATCTGTTGAATCATTTATAAAATATTGACATAAGTTACATAACATTTAATGAAAATATATTTTAAAGCTAATGTCTTGCTTGTTTTTATTATAAATTATATTTTAAATTAATTATGATTTAGTATTCAGTAAATTAATTATTATTTGAAAAATATCATTATTAAAATTTTAAAATATGTTAAGGATATGTTTATAAATGTATTTATATTGTGGAAAATGAGTATATTATTTATAAATCTAAAATCATACCTGCTAAATATTATAAAGATTGGTAGTTCCATATAATCTGCTAGTATACTATTGTGATTACTTTTTATTATAAATTTAGCTATTTTTATTTTAGCGATTTTAGTGAAAAATCGAATTAAAAATGAAGTAATGCTATCAAGGACAGTAAAATAGTTTTTTTTTATCGAAAGATCACACAAAACAAAATGACTAAAATATGTTTTATTAAAAAGGTAAAAGATATTTTATCATGGTTTTATAGATATATAAATATAAATAATTTTTTTAATAAATAATAAATTTATTACTTTGAATAATATATATTTTTTTTTATTTTTTTTTCTTCTTGAAAATCATAAATTCGACCCTTATCTCAACACCACCTATCAAATCTAAACTCTAATTCTATATTAGTTGATCTATATGTATAAATTTCTATTTATCTTTTTAACATAATATTTTTGATTATTTTTACCTTTTGTGTGCTATATTTATGATAAAACCCTTTTTCAATGTAATCATAGAGATTTTTCTTAAAAAATTATGAAAATAATTATCTAGTTTGATTTGTTCTTGACGACCATAATTTTTTTCTTGAAGACTATATCGACCTAAATTTTTGTCTATCAAGCGTCTTTGATTAGTTTTCATAACGGGTTGGATTTATTATTTGACTAAATTCATGTTGTCAAAAACAAAATGTTATAATAGTAACTAAAATTTTAATGGTGATGAGTAAATAAGTTTGTTAATTCCTTTTCATTGATCAAAAGCAAAAATTATATACCAAAAGTTAAAAGTTTATCTACCAAAAAATTATATTCAGTTTTAAAATATCAAAATATATTATTGCATGCCAAAAATATAAAAAATTTATATTAGATTCATAATTAAAATTATTTTTATCAGAAAATTTACGGACAACTACCTAATTATATATATTTAACCAATTATATGTATAATTGTTATTTGAGAAGAGGCTAACTGCACTGAAGCAATTAAGAAATCTATGTAAGCCTTAGAAAATTATCGTATCCATAAAACGAGATTATAATTGATTTACTAACCACAACAATCAAGAAGAAACGAAGCCGTTTATATTTTTTCCCTCACTGCAATTTCCCAACATTTAGATTAAGACCAAAAGTAAATACAAAGACATTTCACCATAAAATTGTTTTAGCCTTGATTGCAACTATTATGCTCGTGTTTATTATGCCTATGATAGAACATATTACTTTGGTATTGTTTATTTTGTTTCTAAGACGTTAAAATGAGGAAGAACTTCAAAGCTTATGCATTTGACAAAACACATACCAACGTTCATACACATACATAAGAACAGTTCAGCACAATCACATATTTTTACAAAAATATGATGCATTCTACAGACAATCAAATAGAGATACGTATTCTTAAAGCAAATTAATACTTTCCCAAATCGTTTCAATAGTTTGAACATATATCAAAAGCATGGAAGATCTTAGATCGAAAGATAAAGACTTACCAAGTCATTAGTAAATCCCACAAACAAAGATCAAGCTTGCAATGTCAAGCATCAATATAAACGTTCATTCCCTCTCCGCAACTCTTCTTCAACCATCTCTCCCTTTCCACACACCTCTTCTACTCCTCGCACCTCCATTAGACCCACAACATGTCAAAGCCTCGAACCTCTCAACATCCCCACCGTCATAATCTGTGACGCCGACTCCAAATTCCGCCTCATCACCTCCATCTCCTTTACAAAATCCTCCCCCACTCTCTCCATCTCCTCCACAACATTCAGAGCTCTCTCCACATCAGCAACAATCCAACAGCAATGATGATCATCTTCACTGGATTTCCATTTCCTCTTGGTCCTTTCCTTAACCACCGCACCATCAGAACCGAGGCTAGTCTTTTGAACTCCTTGAGAATTCATTACAGTGCCTTACCCGAACCTTTCCTTGTGTGCAGGCGGTTATTTCCATCTTTTCCAGGGCAGCATGAGAATACAATGACTTCAGCTCCAAGTCTCATTGTACTTGTCCTAAAACTATTGCCATCTATTAAGAGTAAATGAAATAAGCTCGTACATGAATAAAATAAGGAAAGAGAATCTCTAAGAATGTGCTAGAATCAAATGTATACCCTCTTTAATAACATCATGTTTCCTGCAGCAGTGACAGTAGACATATTTAACAACCCAATCCATCATGAGTGATAAAGAACAATACAAACCTTATGTTGAAGTAATTATCAGGATCCCTTGATGCCTGCTCCTTAAAAAACTTTTAGTAAATACTAAAAAAAACCTTGAATCAAAACAAAGTTTCCATCTTTTTTTTTGGGAGAATTATGAAATTCAAAAGAAAGCTTAGGAAAGTAGAGACATTTTCGCCGCTGAGAGAGCGAGAGACGACGTGAGAGTGGTCCAGCGAGTAGTGGATTTCGTTAGACACTTTAGGAGAACAGCGCCGCCGATCAGAAACAGAGCGTTCGCTACCAAGTGGATCAGCTTCAGTTTGAGCCTTCTCCAAGAGAGCTGATCTATATTTGCAGTACACGTTTACACACTCAGCAGCGAGTTCACCATAGTGTGCAACCCTAAATCCATACCAAGCAAAACACCACATTTGAATCTCACTAACAAATCTATCAGTGTTACTGCAAATCTAATAGGTCAAAATCTCAATCAAAATCTTCCTGAAATGTGTAAGGATACCTGATTTCGAGAGCACGGCTGATGCAATCAACAGCCTCAGCGAAATCCATCTCCTTCAAGAACATATAGCCTTTCTCAGTAAGTTCATCAGCGAATTCAAAAGTCTTCTCACGCTTCTCTTCAGAGACGCCATCAGTCACAGCACTCTCCGCCACGTTGTTGTTGCATGACGATTCAGTGTCGCCTTAAACAACAAATTCGACGGTGGCTTCGATCGAGACTTGGTTAAGTTCTAGTTTACGGGAGTTCCAGACACCGAAGCTTTGGATGCTAAGGCTGCTGCTGCTTCGTCAACCATCGTTCACGCTTGGGAAGGAGAAAAGGCGAAGAACAAACGAAACAGAAATTATCGTCTACTTTCTTTTGATCCAGAGTTTGTATTTTATGGGACTAACGGGCCAATTTTGATTATGTAAAAAATCAGACCCAAAATTATTTGTTGATGTGATGAAACAAATGTTTTGATTGGCTGAATATTTTTGCTGACATAGACATGTTCATAGGGCTTTATTAAGAGCTTTTAATAGAGTAAAGATGTTGGCTGTTAAAACTTTTGATTTTAAAAAAAAATTGAAATAGCTTTAAGAATTATTAAAAACCTAAATTTATTGCTTAAAAAAAACAAATCAAGTTAAGAGTAAAGTTGATTATTTGACTTTAAGACTTTTAAGGAAGACTTTTAGGATTTTAGAGAATTTAAAGTCTGATAGATAAAAAACAGACTTTAAAGACATTAGATATAAACTAAAGCTTCTAAAGCCATCAAAGTCAAAATCCCAATCTGACTCTAAATTTGTGGCTTTGAGATAAACAAGTCACATTATGATCAAAGTTGATTACTTTGGCTTTAAAACTTTAAAAAAAAAACTTTTAGAACTTTAGAAAATTTAAAGTCTGATTGTAAAAAACACTTTAAAGACTTTAGAAATAAGCTAAAGCTTCTAAAGCCATCAAAGTCAAAATCCCAATCGGACTCTAAAGAATCAGAATCAGGCACTTGGAATCTCTTTGGTTTTTCTCTCTTCATTATCATCAACAGTCACATAATCAGCGGACGGTTTCTTGTTTTCCTTTTCACATTCGAAGATGAAGCATGATCCATCTTAAAACCAACGCATTTACTTCAACCAAAGCCCAATTAATCGATCACACAAGTAATTTGGCGGTTTTGTCAAGACAATCTAATTAACATTCTAATTCATCAAATAAAAACTAATTTAAAATTAATGTGTAATTCATCTAAGTACAAGCATCCACATTGGTTCTTGAATCATCAATGCTTGTTTATTTCGGTAGCTGTAATGAAACCATAAGATGAAGGACTAGATACAAATCAACTCTTCTCCTTGTGAAAGACTAAAACCGAACCCAACACCGAGTGCATTGAGCAATACAATCTCCTTTACAATCCACATTGTATCCCAACACTTTCGGATTCCGAAGCAACAGACTTCGCAGCGACTTACCAGTAATCCCCCATTGATTTTCCAAGATCCCAATGTTGGGTTTCATCTCTTCTTCTAAGCTGCAGCCAAGTACTTCAGGGAACTTCTTCAGCACTTTGTGCAGATCTTCATCGGACAAACCGAGACTTCTGAGGAACTCAAGTACTTGATTCAAAGTTTCCACCTTTGGATTCTCTTTCACTCGTTCTTCAGTCCAGTACGGCGAGTGGATATGACCAAACGCTTTTCCTAGTATCTTGTCTTGCTCCTCTACGCTGAAATCAAAACAAGACACAGCTTCTTTGCATTCTTCCCATGTCTTTGGCTCATCACCAGAGGTTTCCACTTGTGTTGTCGAACGAACCACTATCCACTTGTTTCGTGGAACACGAGATGTCCTTACTCCTCCAACCACACCATGATACGACAAGTTCAGTTTCAACGGCAGAACACTAGTGTATGTTACAAGATCACCCTGCAAATAATGAACAAAAGCAATGTATGTCAAATGAGATTAAAAAAGGACCACAAGAAATATAACCAATGATCTGAACGGAAAAATGTTACATACCACAGATTGGCGGAAGGATTTGGTAGGACCCGATGTTGCCAAAGGTGAAGCTACAGAGTTTCTTAACATCTCCTGTTTTAGCAGCAAACGAAAGATATCAGCAATTCGATACACAAAAAACTTTATATGAATTGATGAAAAAGAGATCAACAGAATTATAATGGAAGTATATTATTCTCAACTTTATAGAATCTAGACAAAAGCAACTCTACTCCTATCCATAAAGATAGCGGTCAACCAACAAAAGGGCTTTGAAACAACCAGTACAATCGAGTGGTTTTAAACATCATAAAACCAAAGGACAAAACACAAGTGTGAGTTAGTAGCAGGAACACAATCTGAAGCAGAGAGAACTGATGAACAGAATCATTCTTCTCAGTTTCATAGAACCTAACACAAGAGCAACTCTACTCAACAATGGATTGCGTTTAGAAACCAATTCAGAAGCCTTTTGTAATTAAAAAAAAAAAAAATCCCAAATTTCGCCTAACCCTAAAACCCAGAATTAATTGGATAAAAGAATCAAACATTTGAAAGATTGTAAAATAGTGAACATCAATGACGCAAGTCATATGATTTTCATGATCGGAGACCTGGACTCGGTAGATACTCTTAACTTGGTCGCCGGCGAACCAGAAACAAACACTGAGCCAGATATGAAACCGTTGGTATTGAGAAGGTTACGTGTATAGGTGAGAGAAGAAGGAAGAACCAAGCATTGTTGTTGAGAGATGAAAGCAGAAAAGGGTCGCTTTCTGAAATTGCGTCTTTACGTTGTATCCAACAGTCAACTGACACCAGGGACGTATTGTGTGTTTCAAAACAGTTTTAGACCGGCTTGTCAACGAATCGAATATCCACACCCCAATCCGGTTATGTTTTCAATTTATACCAACACGCAACGACTTGATTTTGTTTCTCACCGGATTGCCGCAATATATTTAACAGAAAATTACTAGAATAATATAAAAAAATTGGTATATAACTAGAATGATATACATTTTTCAAAAAAAATACTATAATGTTTTCAGACCCTTAAGAAATTACAATAAAGATTCTTGTTTAATTTTTTTTTTTAAGTTTAATTATCAAATCTACATCACTAATTAGGCAATCCACGTCACTAACTTTTATGACACGGGAAAATCAACCATCTCCATATTTCTGGTGAGTAGAAAAAAAAATCATAACGTCACAACTTTCTTTCTTCTTTGTTAAACCCTAAATGTTACCAAAATCGTCTCGTCTCGAACTGTCTATGATATCGTCTTCGTCGAAAACGTCTTCTCCGCAAAAGTTTCTACGCAATCGTCTTCGTCGCAATCGTATCATTTTCTCCGGTATGTTGTGGCTTAGTCAAACTTATATTGAGACTGAGTTTGATTTACGATGTGGATGAGTTACAGATTATCTTGTAACTGAGTTATTTTATATTGTGGCTGAGTTTGATGTACGTTGTGATCTATTGCGGCTAAGTTATAGATCATGGTGTGGCTGAGTTATTGTTTATGTTGTGGCTGAGTTTGTTGTATTATGGCTGAGTTTTGTTTCTATTACGGCTGAGTTATGTATTATATTGTGGCTGAGTTTGTTGCATTATGGCTGAGTTATACTATGTTGTGGCTGAGTTTTGTTTCTATCACGGCTGAGTTATATATTATGTTGTGGCTGGGTTTGTTATATTATAGCTGAGTTATATTATGTTGTGGCTGAGTTTTGTTTATATTAAGGCTGAGTTATGTATTATGTTGTGACTTGCGGTTGATTTATATATATGTGTTCTAGGATCAGATGGATGTTTCTGAAGATCAAGCACAGGATTATCCTCTAAGATTTTACGCTGAAGGAGCTTCTAAAACCTAATATTCCTGCTAATCTTTGAAAAAACTAATCAGAAGCAGTTTGTGTTCCGAAGGAGGAAAGACAAATACATTCCACAAAACGAGCAAATTGACGATTGTGGAATGTATTCATTGAAATTTGTGGAATGTTTGACGCTTGGCGTGACTTTTGATGGGATAAATGATAAGAATTCAAGGTATACGAGTGAAGATAGCAGCAGATATCCTCGATGAAGGAAGAAATGGGATGTATCAGCCGTATCGTTTCTATAAGCCAGCCGTATCTCTTTATATAACTCAGCCATACAACAAATATATCCTAATATCAAATTTTTTTAATAAAACCCAGCCGTATCGTTTCTATAAGACAGCCGTAACGCTTCATATAACTCAGCCCTACCACAAACAGACGCTAAAATCAAAAAAAAAAAATTAATATAACCTAGCCATATCAGTTCTATAAGCCATGTAACTCATCCAAACCACAAACATACCCTAATATTGAAAAATGTAATTTAATATGTAATTAAAAATTAAAATTAGCAATTTTAGATGAATATATAATCAATAGAGTGTGTGTATTTCATTGAATTTACAAGTTTCGAATTGATCATGATCCTGAGGTATATGTTGTCTTACAAATACTTAAAACCTATGTGTCTATATAGGTGTTGAACGCACCAAATACAAAGTATACCATATAATATTTTTTCAACCGAATTTGTGTAATTTCTTATATTTTATAATGGTAACGAAACCATAAAACCGAAATCCTAAACACTAACTTCAAATAATTTACCCTAAACCCTAAAACATAAACTTATCATAAACATAACTCAGCCGTAACATGTCAATAACACAGCCGCAAAGTATAACTTAATCGCGGCCTTTCGTATTTTGGGCGAGAACTAAATACTTGCGAAACACTGGGGTGAGCGGGAACATTACGCAACCATGGCCATTGATTGATTTTAATCTAAGGGTTCAAAATTATCATTTTCTCTATCCTCACCCTTCTTTATCATTGGTAATCTTTCTTTTCAAGGATCACAATTTACGGCCATTGATTATATGAAATCTAAAGGTCAAAAATCATTCTCTCATTTTCTTATAAATGACGGGATTTAACCGTTTCATCACTCTCTTTGAGTATTTTTTTTTCTTCAGAAAGACGACGAATCCGATGAGAGAGGGAGCATCAGGATGTCGAATCACCATACAAGAAGGAACATCAGGATGTCAGATCACCATACAAATATTGGAGAAAAGAAAGCTTCTTCTCTAACCAAACACCATCAAAGATGGCGACGACTACAATAGATTTGTCTCCAATTTTTTTTTCTAGATATATGTTGTTTATGCAACTGATATGTCTCTTAATTTCTAATCTATAGACTCGTATTTTAGTGTTTCTTTTGGTTTCTAACTTCAATTTAAGTTTGGATGATGAATCTTGAACTTGTCAGAAGCTTTTTTGGTCGACTTGGTTATAAATAAATCGTATTGTAACCATAACTCGCCTTTGATTATAACAAAACTCATCCATAATTTGATTATAACTCAGTTGTAACCTAGGCATAACTCAGCCGTAAAGTATGCATAACTCAGCCCTAATGTATGCATAACTCAGCTGCCGTTTGATGATTTATAACTCAGCCGTAACGTATGCATAACTCAGCCGTAAAGTATGCATAGCTCAGCCAAAACGTATGCATAACTCAGCCATAAAGTATGCATAACTCAGCCATAACGTATGCATAACTCAGCTGCAATTTGATGAGTTCAGTCGTAATGTATGCATAACTCAGCCATAAAGTATGCATAACTCAGCCTTAACGTATGTATAACTCAGTCGTAAAGTATGCATAACTCAGACCATTGAAAGCACTCTAAGTCCCATGCGACTAAGAATAAGAAGAATGTATGCATAACTCATCCGTAACGTATATGAATGGTATAAGCCAGCCTTAATGTTCCTATAAGTCAGCCTTCAAGTGTTATTTGTTTCACGACGTTTCGTATTTTGGGCGAGAATACATCATTCATTCAACCCTGAACACAATATTAAAACTTTAATCTCTTCTTAAGTTTGAACCTCATATTCAGATGATGCAAAGTCTGAGTTATTAAACATATAAAATTAGATTTCAAATTCATCATCTTCTTCGTATTCTCATTTTTCTTTTTTTCTTACAATTTATGGAACTTAGCTTTTTCATTTCTCTCTCTGGCTATTTATTCTTCTGCAAGGCGGCGAATTCGATGGGAGAGGGAGCAACAAGATGTCATACCACCATACATGACACTGGAGGAGAGCAAGCTTCTTCTCAACCGACCATCATCGAAGAGGACGATTGCAGTAAATCTGTCTTAGATTTTTAATTTTTTTAAATCTATGTTTTTTAGACCTAGTTGCAGAAAAAATAATTATCAGATCCATAAGATCTTAGAGAAAGATGAAGAATAAGATGAAGAAGATAGTTAAAGAAGATGAAGAATGAAGAATAAGACTCTGCGTCTCTAACATAAATCATTATTTTATATTTTCAATGTTAGTAATGACATGGTTAGTAAGAGTTGATGACATGGATGATGACATGGAAAAGCGGTAAGTCAGCCACCAAACGAACACATAACTCAGCCTAAATAAACCAGCCATCAAGTACAACGTAAACTAGCTGAAACATGAATACTATTTCAGTAGTTAATCTTTTACTAATAAATCAGCCATAATTATGATGAAAAATTATAAGTCAACCGTATCGTCAAATAAATGAGCTGTCAAACGAATGATATTCTAGTAATTAATCTTTCGCTAATAAGTCAGCCGTAATTATGCTGAGTTTACTGTTAATCCAGCCAGTTACAAGTGATTAAATATAACTCAGCTGTAACAACCTCTCATAAGTCAGCCATAAATTTAATAACTCATCCAGACAATGTTCATTAACCCAGCCGGCAAAACATAACTCAGCCATGTCTTAATTACAACTCAGCCAAATTTTCCAGAAATCACATCGCCGATGTATAAGTCAGCCGTAACTTATGTACGTAAGTCAGCCGTTATCCCAGCCATATTTCTGTAAGTCAGCCATCACTAACGGCTGACTTATATTCTTAAGTCAGCCAATTTCTCTTAAGTCAGCCGCGTTGTTTGACCCAGCCACAAGGTAATAATAACCCAGCTGTAATGACATCTATAGCGCTTTACGGCTGACTTAATGAAAACACGGCAGCGATTTCCTACGTGGCGCCGGATTTTTGCTTACATGGCATTAAAAATTAATGGCATTTTTGTAAATACGTTTTTTCTTATAACATAATAAAATGGCACGCTTGGTATTTAAAAATGACAATAATAAAAAAAAGATTTGTATGGTTCTAGTTATTTGTCCTAAAATATATATTATTTGAATAAACTTCCCTATATTTAATAGGGATGAGGGGTGGCGTTCGGAAACTATGCGGTTCAAATTTATTCAATTCCAAAAATCTTGAATTTTACGAACTAAAATCGACCATACTCGACATATAGATGTCAACACCAAGTCAACTACCAATCGACACCTTTGTAGTGTCAATCGACACCCCTTTTGCACACACCCTCATATTTCTGAAATGCCAAAACCGGTATAGAAAATAAGATCTACAAACATAAGATGCTATACCTTGTAGTACTAAAATATCTGCGGTAACCTATTAGTGCAAAAGAATTGGCTAGTTTCTACCAAAAGACAAAAAAAGATTATGATACTACCTTCTTTAGGATGCTGGGGATGGTTTTCTGTTTGAATAATTTCTTCAAACACACATGTGAGACTAGGGACATTGTTTGACGAGGCTAGAACTGCATCTTCTTGGGTGAAGAAACTATCAAAGTTAGAAGATCATGGGAAATTTTCTTTTCTCTGCTCTATATTACGAGTTGAGTTCCCTGACGCAGTTTGTGATACATGTCTACAATTAGTTTCATGTTTAAGGATATTGCTGAAAGA